GTTCCTGTGTTCCTCTCAGAACCGCCTCAGAGACAGTCCCTGTGTTCCTCTCAGAACCGCCTCAGAGACAGTGCCAGTGTTCCTCTCAGAACCGCCTCAGAGACAGTGCCAGTGTTCCTCTCAGAACCACCTCAGAGACAGTCCCAGTGTTCCTCTCAGAACCGCCTCAGAGACAGTCCCTGTGTTCCTCTCAGAACCGCCTCAGAGACAGTCCCTGTGTTCCTCTCAGAACCACCTCAGAGACAGTCCCAGTGTTCCTCTCAGAACCGCCTCAGAGACAGTCCCTGTGTTCCTCTCAGAACCGCTCTCAGCGACAGTCCCAGTGTTCCTCTCAGAACCGCCTCAGAGACAGTCCCTGTGTTCCTCTCAGAACCACCTCAGAGACAGTCCCAGTGTTCCTCTCAGAACCGCCTCAGAGACAGTCCCTGTGTTCCTCTCAGAACCGCCTCAGCGACAGTCCCAGTGTTCCTCTCAGAACCGCCTCAGAGACAGTCCCAGTGTTCCTCTCAGAACCACCTCAGAGACAGTCCCAGTGTTCCTCTCAGAACCACCTCAGAGACAGTGCCAGTGTTCCTCTCAGAACCACCTCAGAGACAGTTCCAGTGTTCCTCTCAGAACCGCCTTAGGGACAGTCCCAGTGTTCCTCTCAGAACCACCTCAGAGACAGTGCCAGTGTTCCTCTCAGAACCACCTCAGAGACAGTGCCTGTGTTCCTCTCAGAACCACCTCAGAGACAGTCCCAGTGTTCCTCTCAGAACAACCTCAGAGACAGTGCCAGTGTTCCTCTCAGAACCGCCTCAGGAACAGTCCCAGTGTTCCTCTCAGAACCACCTCAGAGACAGTCCCAGTGTTCCTCTCAGAACCACCTCAGAGACAGTGCCAGTGTTCCTCTCAGAACCGCCTCAGAGACAGTCCCAGTGTTCCTCTCAGAACCGCCTCAGAGACAGTCCCAGTGTTCCTCTCAGAACCACCTCAGAGACAGTCCCTGTGTTCCTCTCAGAACCACCTCAGAGACAGTCCCTGTGTTCCTCTCAGAACCACCTCAGAGACAGTCCCTGTGTTCCTCTCAGAACCGCCTCAGAGACAGTCCCAGTGTTCCTCTCAGAACCGCCTCAGAGACAGTGCCAGTGTTCCTCTCAGAACCGCCCCAGAGACAGTCCCAGTGTTCCTCTCAGAACCGCCTCAGAGACAGTCCCAGTGTTCCTCTCAGAACCGCCTCAGAGACAGTCCCAGTGTTCCTGTCAGAACCACCTCAGAGACAGTGCCAGTGTTTCTCTCAGAACCGCCTCAGAGACAGTCCCAGTGTTCCTCTCAGAACCCCCTCAGAGACAGGCCCAGTGTTCCTCTCAGAACCGCCTCAGATACAGTCCCAGTGTTCCTCTCAGAACCGCCTCAGACACAGTGCCAGTGTTCCTCTCAGAACCGCCTCAGACACAGTCCCAGTGTTCCTCTCAGAACCACCTCAGAGGCAGTCCCAGTGTTCCTCTCAGAACCGCCTCAGAGACAGTCCCTGTGTTCCTCTCAGAACCGCCTCAAAGACAGTCCCAGTGTTCCTCTCAGAACCGCCTCAGAGACAGTGCCAGTGTTCCTCTCAGAACCGCCTCAGAGACAGTGCCAGTGTTCCTCTCAGAACCACCTCAGAGACAGTCCCAGTGTTCCTCTCAGAACCGCCTCAGAGACAGTCCCAGTGTTCCTCTCAGAACCGCCTCAGAGACAGTCCCAGTGTTCCTCTCAGAACCACCTCAGAGACAGTCCCAGTGTTCCTCTCAGAACCACCTCAGAGACAGTCCCAGTGTTCCTCTCAGAACCGCCTCAGAGACAGTCCCTGTGTTCCTCTCAGAACCGCCTCAGAGATAGTCCCTGTGTTCCTCTCAGAACCGCCTCAGAGACAGTCCCTGTGTTCCTCTCAGAACCGCCTCAGAGACAGTGCCAGTGTTCCTCTCAGAACCGCCTCAGAGACAGTCCCAGTGTTCCTCTCAGAACCGCCTCAGAGACAGTCCCAGTGTTCCTCTCAGAACCGCCTCAGAGACAGTCCCAGTGTTCCTCTCAGAACCGCCTCAGAGACAGTCCCAGTGTTCCTCTCAGAACCGCCTCAGAGACAGTCCCAGTGTTCCTCTCAGAACCGCCTCAGAGACAGTCCCAGTGTTCCTCTCAGAACCACCTCAGGGACAGTCCCAGTGTTCCTCTCAGAACCGCCTCAGAGACTGTTCCTGTGTTCCTCTCAGAACCGCCTCAGAGACAGTCCCTGTGTTCCTCTCAGAACCGCCTCAGAGACAGTGCCAGTGTTCCTCTCAGAACCGCCTCAGAGACAGTGCCAGTGTTCCTCTCAGAACCACCTCAGAGACAGTCCCAGTGTTCCTCTCAGAACCGCCTCAGAGACAGTCCCTGTGTTCCTCTCAGAACCGCCTCAGAGACAGTCCCTGTGTTCCTCTCAGAACCACCTCAGAGACAGTCCCAGTGTTCCTCTCAGAACCGCCTCAGAGACAGTCCCTGTGTTCCTCTCAGAACCGCCTCAGCGACAGTCCCAGTGTTCCTCTCAGAACCGCCTCAGAGACAGTCCCTGTGTTCCTCTCAGAACCACCTCAGAGACAGTCCCAGTGTTCCTCTCTCAGAACCGCCTCAGAGACAGTCCCTGTGTTCCTCTCAGAACCGCCTCAGCGACAGTCCCAGTGTTCCTCTCAGAACCGCCTCAGAGACAGTCCCAGTGTTCCTCTCAGAACCACCTCAGAGACAGTCCCAGTGTTCCTCTCAGAACCACCTCAGAGACAGTGCCAGTGTTCCTCTCAGAACCACCTCAGAGACAGTTCCAGTGTTCCTCTCAGAACCGCCTCAGAGACAGTCCCTGTGTTCCTCTCAGAACCGCCTTAGGGACAGTCCCAGTGTTCCTCTCAGAACCACCTCAGAGACAGTGCCAGTGTTCCTCTCAGAACCACCTCAGAGACAGTGCCTGTGTTCCTCTCAGAACCACCTCAGAGACAGTCCCAGTGTTCCTCTCAGAACAACCTCAGAGACAGTGCCAGTGTTCCTCTCAGAACCGCCTCAGGAACAGTCCCAGTGTTCCTCTCAGAACCACCTCAGAGACAGTCCCAGTGTTCCTCTCAGAACCACCTCAGAGACAGTGCCAGTGTTCCTCTCAGAACCGCCTCAGAGACAGTGCCAGTGTTCCTCTCAGAACCGCCTCAGTGACAGTCCCTGTGTTTCTCTCAGAACCACCTCAGGTACAGTTCCTGTGTTCCTCTCAGAACCGCCTCAGAGACAATGCCAGTGTTCCTCTCAGAACCGCCTCAGAGACAGTCCCAGTGTTCCTCTCAGAACCGCCTCAGAGACAGTCCCAGTGTTCCTCTCAGAACCACCTCAGAGACAGTCCCTGTGTTCCTCTCAGAACCACCTCAGAGACAGTCCCTGTGTTCCTCTCAGAACCACCTCAGAGACAGTCCCTGTGTTCCTCTCAGAACCGCCTCAGAGACAGTCCCAGTGTTCCTCTCAGAACCGCCTCAGAGACAGTGCCAGTGTTCCTCTCAGAACCGCCCCAGAGACAGTCCCAGTGTTCCTCTCAGAACCGCCTCAGAGACAGTCCCAGTGTTCCTCTCAGAACCGCCTCAGAGACAGTCCCAGTGTTCCTGTCAGAACCACCTCAGAGACAGTGCCAGTGTTTCTCTCAGAACCGCCTCAGAGACAGTCCCAGTGTTCCTCTCAGAACCCCCTCCGAGACAGGCCCAGTGTTCCTCTCAGAACCGCCTCAGATACAGTCCCAGTGTTCCTCTCAGAACCGCCTCAGACACAGTGCCAGTGTTCCTCTCAGAACCGCCTCAGACACAGTCCCAGTGTTCCTCTCAGAACCACCTCAGAGGCAGTCCCAGTGTTCCTCTCAGAACCGCCTCAGAGACAGTCCCTGTGTTCCTCTCAGAACCGCCTCAAAGACAGTCCCAGTGTTCCTCTCAGAACCGCCTCAGAGACAGTCCCAGTGTTCCTCTCAGAACCGCCTCAGAGACAGTGCCAGTGTTCCTCTCAGAACCACCTCAGAGACAGTCCCAGTGTTCCTCTCAGAACCGCCTCAGAGACAGTCCCAGTGTTCCTCTCAGAACCGCCTCAGAGACAGTGCCAGTGTTCCTCTCAGAACCACCTTAGAGACAGTCCCAGTGTTCCTCTCAGAACCGCCTCAGAGACAGTCCCTGTGTTCCTCTCAGAACCGCCTCAGAGCCAGTCCCAGTGTTCCTCTCAGAACCGCCTCAGAGACAGTCCCAGTGTTCCTCTCAGAACCGCCTCAGAGACAGTGCCAGTGTTCCTCTCAGAACCACCTCAGAGACAGTCCCAGTGTGCCTCTCAGAACCGCCTCAGAGACAGTGCCAGTGTTCCTCTCAGAACCACCTCAGAGACAGTCCCAGTGTTCCTCTCAGAACCGCCTCAGAGACAGTGCCAGTGTTCCTTTCAGAACCGCCTCAGAGACAGTCCCAGTGTTCCTCTCAGAACCGCCTCAGAGACAGTGCCAGTGTTCCTCTCAGAACCACCTCAGAGACAGTCCCAGTGTTCCTCTCAGAACCGCCTCAGAGAGAGTGCCAGTGTTCCTCTCAGAACCGCCTCAGAGACAGTCCCAGTGTTCCTCTCAGAACCGCCTCAGGAACAGTGCCTGTGTTCCTCTCAGAACCGCCTCAGAGACAGTCCCAGTGTTCCTCTCAGAACCACCTCAGAGACAGTGCCAGTGTTCCTCTCAGAACCACCTCAGAGACAGTGCCAGTGTTCCTCTCAGAACCGCCTCAGAGACAGTGCCAGTGTTCCTCTCAGAACCACCTCAGAGACAGTCCCTGTGTTCATCTCAGAACCACCTCAGAGACAGTGCCAGTGTTCCTCTCAGAACCACCTCAGAGACAGTGCCTGTGTTCCTCTCAGAACCACCTCAGAGCCAGTGTTCCTCTCAGAACCGCCTCATAGACAGTCCCAGTGTTCCTCTCAGAACCGCCTCAGAGACAGTATAATCTGGTGAATGCATGCGTGATCTTTACCTGAGCGCAGCGTCTGTGGGATTTGCACCAGTCCAGAACGTGGTCACTCTGCAAACACACACACAGAACACAAGCCCAACGTTAGAACGGCCGGGGGAAACGAAAATAAATGTGGCCAGAGGAAAGTCCTGCCATCAGAAAAGCAAATATTATTCCTAAAAGGTCACTGCGAAATGCCATGAGCGTCTGACATTTGTGCTTATTTACATAAAGTGATAGAAGTGAATAGAAATGACTTGAAGACCTCAGGTCAGTGGGCGTTGAGGGGTTTAGAAGAATCACAGTATAATCTGTTATTTGTGTTTTTTGCTCCATCCATGATAATATCAGGAACTTTTGGCACAGATATGTTCCCATGCCACCTCTATGATTATCCCTAATTTACAACGTCCAACATCTTCAGCACGTCTTCAGTGCTACGACTTTTGCTCGTAAACAATTTAAAATAGCTTTTTCTTATAATGAGGCTGGAAATATACACCATTAGTGAAATATGCTAGTATGTCGAGCGTTACTACATTGTGCACCTTTGTCAATAGGTTGGAACTCTAACTTAGGCCAATATCCAACATCAACTTCATTGGTGAAATTATTTTAAAACAGTCTTCAGGGAAGTTATGCATTGTGGTGCTCAGACCGGATCATGCGGCAAGTTTCAATACAAAGTCCATGCAAAGAATTGCACGGACGTCGCGGCACGCACGTTTATCCCACACGGCAGCGCCTTGTTGCGGTGCAGCAGCGGCGGTGAGTACGGAGGCTAGATGCATGCAGCGAAAGCAGGAGATGTACATTCTCACTGCACACACGTGCAGCAACCAATCAGAGAGCACAAAGTGGTCACGGGGGCTTCCATCTACACACGTCCATGCATCGGCGGTGTGAATACAGCCTTAGATTGACAGTTGACAGATTTCTTTGTTGCCCTTGAGTACTTTCCTGCGGAGTCCCACAGGGTTCCATTCTTGGTTCGCTGTTATTGTATTTAATCTGCTTTTGCTCCCCTTTGGTTATTACAAACACATACAGTAATGTTGTATTCTCCTGGTGTAACTTGAATTCTCCCGGTGTTCATGTAACTATATCAAGCACCGCAGGCAGGAGATGTAGTTAGAAAGGGTTCAATTTAGTGTTCATTCTCCTTCTTTTCCCTGTCTTTCCCGCAGAGATATGTCAGGTCAGGACATGAGTAATGGACAAATAATGTATTATATGTGTTCTTTGAAATTAACTAAACATCACGTAATGTCTTTTGCTTCTTTCCACCCATGGATTTTACCACCTTCACTGGCCCTACATGCTCTCCAAACTTGCGCACTCCTTCGTCATTGGCCCAATCAGTTACACACCAAAACAGCCATTACAGAGCGCCGTGTTGGGCCTTGTGTCTTGCCCGGGTCTGCTGGGAGCGCCGGTATCCTAGCGTCATCGCCGTGTGGGATAAGCCCTCTTAATGACTGCTCAAGCCGCAAATAGCCAGCATGCGGCTTATCTCCCTCCACACTCTCCTTTATCCGTCTCCCCATTGTCAGCTACAGGTCGGTGAAATAAAGTCAAGTGACACACGAGAATACAGGGCCGTTGTGGAACTAAAATTGTTTCCAAGTTAAAAACAGATCTGGAAATAACAAAAAAGACGACTTATTGTTTAGCTACCATGGAGAGTTCAAATTGGCCGACTGTCATGGCCCATTGCCGGCAAAACGATGAGTGAGGGGGCTTCCATCTAGTAGCCACCAGCTTAACTCTTAACATTTCACCAATAGTGCGCAACATTAGACAACTATTTCATTATATTTTGCAATTCTGATCAGTGCAAAATCCACACCTTGCCAAAATGTTTAGACTCTGCAATTGTTTCTCCCGCAACAGCCTATTGTTGCTGTGCTTTATGGTTAAGGCCAAAAGGTTAGGTTTAGGATAAGTGGTAGAGGGGGCTTTCCTTTTTTCAAGGGGACAAGAACCAGAGAACCAACGCCTTCAACACAACCAGAGAGAACAGAAAAGATGTCATGCTCTGATGCTTCTTTTTCTCCTTTTGTGATGACTGAGCACAAATAATAATAGTGATTGAGAAAATTGAGGCGTTTTTCTCTGAGGTGGGAGGAGCTTGGGACAATGTGTTTCTCTCAGCCACATGATCCGCAGCCGTAGCTTTAGGAGCGCTCCCACAGAATGCCTTAGTATGTGTGAAAGTGGGGTGCGCTCCAAGGACGGTCCCAGTGCTGGTTTTGCTTCATTCCTGACGTTCTCGCTGCTCAGCCAGGAGTGTCAGCTGTTTGGGTAGAATTACAGCCATAAAAAATAGAATAAAGTAAAACATTTTTTTTTTTTTGTGGTTTATACAATTGAATAACTAGGGGGCGCAATCGGGCTAAAATAAATTGGTGTTTGGTTTTGTTTTGTTTTGTTTTTTTATTTCTATTTTATCAACTTCATTTTGTTGCTTATTATAGTCATTATGATCTTTATTGACCTTGAAGAGTGATGTTGCTTTAAACAGTTGCCATTATTTGTCGTTAATATTGCTGTTATCGTCTGTTCTTTCTTGTTTATTTTTTCACATTTGCATAGTTGCTGTTCTATGTAAAGTGTGTATATTTTCATGTAGTGTTTTGGGGGTGGGCACCAATAAGCTTTTGCTTCGGCCCACTCCTTTTGAGCAGTACTTGTCTGCTCAAATAAACAAATAAATAAATAAACTAGAAACTTGCAATGGCTGAAGCCATTGCGATTGACTGCGGAACAGATCTAATGTGGAAATCTGCTAAAAAAAATCCTTTAAATCCTTTAAAAGGCCTTAAAACTGTTAAAATACTTGATAGATATTTGAAACTCCTGAAGTCCTTGAAATTGTTGAAACCTTTAAACTCCTGAAATCCTTGAAACTGTTGAAACATTGAAACTCCTGAAATCCTTGAAACTTTTTTAAACCTGGAAACTGTTGAAAGTGTGGAAACTCCTGAAATCCTTGAACCTCCTGATATCCTTGAAACTGGTTAAATTCTTAAACAGTTGAAATCCTTGAAACTACTGAATGTATTGAAAGTGTCCTTGAAACTGAAAAATCCCCTCACCGCTGAAACAATTTGGTTCCTGTAACTAAGGAAACCTGGTCTGTGGTCATTATCTGGTGGTGGTCTGAGTCTTCGTTTGGGTCTTGGTCTGGTGGTATAATGCAACCTATTAGGTTGCATTATACTGGTTTACATGGAAAAATCCCTATTAGGTTGCATTATACTGGTTTACATGGAAAAATCCCTATTAAGTTGCATTATACTGGTTTACATGGAAAAATCTCTATTAAGTTGCATTATACTGGTTTACATGGAAAAATCCCTATTAGGTTGCATTATACTGGTTTACATGTACAAATCCCTATTAAGTTGCTTTATACTGGTTTACATGTAAAAACCCCTATTAGGTTACATTATAGTGGTTTACATGTAAAAATCCTTATTAAGTTGCATTATACTGGTTTACATGTAAAAACCCCTATTAAGTTCCATTATACTGGTTTACATGTAAAAACCCCTATTAAGTTCCATTATACTGGTTTACATGTAAAAACCCTATTAAGTTGCATTATACTGGTTTACATGAAAAAAACCCTATTAAGTTCCATTATACTGGTTTACATGTAAAAACCCTATTAAGTTGCATTATACTGGTTTACATGAAAAAAACCCTATTAAGTTGCATTATACTGGTTTACATGGAAAAATCCCTATTAAGTTGCATAATACTGGTTTACATGGAAAAATCCCCATTAATTTGCATTATACTGGTTTACATGAAAAAAAACCCTATTAAGTTGCATTATACTGGTTTACATGGAAAAATCCCTATTAAGTTGCATTGTACTGGTTTACATGGAAAAATCCCTATTAAGTTGCATTATACTGGTTTACATGTAAAAAAAAACCCTATTAAGTTGCATTATACTGGTTTACATGGAAAAATCCCCATTAAGTTGCATTATACTGGTTTACATGAAAAAAACCCTATTAAGTTGCATTATACTGGTTTACATGAAAAAAACCCTATTAAGTTGCATTATACTGGTTTACATGGAAAAATCCCTATTAAGTTGCATAATACTGGTTTACATGGAAAAATCCCCATTAAGTTGCATTATACTGGTTTACATGAAAAAACCCCTATTAAGTTGCATTATACTGGTTTACATGGAAAAATCCCTATTAAGTTGCATTATACTGGTTTACATGTAAAAAAAAACCCTATTAAGTTGCATTATACTGGTTTACATGGAAAAATCCCCATTAAGTTGCATTATACTGGTTTACATGAAAAAAACCCTATTAAGTTGCATTATACTGGTTTACATGAAAAAAACCCTATTAAGTTGCATTATACTGGTTTACATGGAAAAATCCCTATTAAGTTGCATTATACTGGTTTACATGAAAAAACCCCTATTAAGTTGCATTATACTGGTTTACATGGAAAAATCCCCATTAAGTTGCATTATACTGGTTTACATGGAAAAATCCCTATTAAGTTGCATTGTACTGGTTTACATGGAAAAAACCCTATTAAGTTGCATTATACTGGTTTACATGGAAAAAACCCTATTAAGTTGCATTATACTGGTTTACATGTAAAAACCCCTATTAAGTAGCATTATACTGGTTTACATGGAAAAATCCCCATTAAGTTGCATTATACTGGTTTACATGAAAAAAAACCCTATTAAGTTGCATTATACTGGTTTACATGAAAAAACCCTATTAAGTTGCATTATACTGGTTTACATGGAAAAATCCCTATTAAGTTGCATTATACTGGTTTACATGGAAAAATCCCTATTAGGTTGCATGATTACACTGAAGTCCTTGAAACTGCTGAAGTCCTTGAAACTGCTGAAGTCCTTGAAACTGCTGAAGTCCTTGAAACTGTTGAAGTCCTTGAAACTCTTGAAATCTTGAAACTGCTGAAATCCTTGAAACTGTTGAATCCTTGAAACTGTTGAATCATTGAAACTGTAGAAATGTCTGAAAGAGCTGAAGTCCTATTAAAATGCATGGGCCTATTAAAATGCATTGCAGAATTCTCAATGCAGATTTTTGTCCGATTGCGGAAAAACCGGAAATCGCTGAAGTCCCAAAAGTAATAGCAATAATCTCCCAAACATGTGGAACGTTTTGATGTATAACTTGTGGAAATTGTTGAAAATGTGAAAGCTGTGAAACGTGTCAAAAAAAATGACGGAATAAAGAAATACAAAACCAATGGTTGACTGCGGAAGGTTCCGCAGTCAATCAATAAACGTATATGGGGAAAAATTGAGAGAATTCTGCAAAACAAAAGGACATTGAATAAAGTTATTGTGTACTTTATTGTCCACAGGGAAATTTGTCCTCCGCATGTGCATTGTCCATCCTTCAATACCACTTGCACCTCCGTCTGGAGCTCTGGTCTCTACGGTGCATCTCCAGATACTGATGCTCTTGGTCAGAACCAGAGTTGCAGATACAGTGCAGGCCTGAGAGCGACCTACCGGGCCCCAAACCTAGCCTGGTCGCACCACACCATAGTACAAATTACATTTTGTACTAAGGTCTGGATTTGCTCCATTGACTCCGTGAACAGGTGGGAGGGGCTAACTCCTTTTGCAGATTGAAACGATTGGATCTGAGTTTACCGTGACGTATGTAGTGCGCCCGAGTCTGTTGTTAGCATTTAGCATTTAGCCTAGCTTTAGCCATCTCCTTTGCCGCTAACAGAGCCCGTGGGGAGTAGCGCCACAATTTCTTCCAGCGATTACATTTGCTAAACATTCCTCTTGCTCCGGCTTCAGTTTCTTGATAGAACCAGACCGGATTACTTTACTATTGCATTCTTCACCATTGCCAAACTACAACCTTCCCGTTCGACGCAAACTCTTGACGTCACCCACAACTAACTACAACACCCGCCTCCCGCGCTCTCTGATTGGTCGGTCGAAATTCAACCGATTGTAATCACTAACACAGGGACCAGACCCAGACGTTACATGCAGTGAAATGATGACTGAGCGGAGAGTACGGATGGATAAGACCAGGGTGGTCCAGACAAGAATTGTGGAATAAAATGCTAATTTCTCACTGACAAATAAAGACAAATTTGAGAATATTTGTGAGAAATGTCCTTTAAAATGAATATGATATTTTTAGTTCAGCTCATAAAAAAATAGAAAACAAACAAAAGTCCCTATATATTACAAAAAATATACGGTAAGCAAGAAAAAATTTATAAGAAAATCCTAGAGTGAGCAAAGTGTAGATTGTAAACATGTAAATCTAGTATAATGCAATATATATTTATACAATTGTCGGAATGTAAAGTACATCATTTGACTAGAGAAATTCCACATGCATTGACCCCAAAGTATTTCCTTTCATTTAATTTTGGAGATTTGTCAAAGTGAACCAAGATCTAAAACAGAGCCTTTTGACTGAAACGACAGAGTTATGAGTTTACACCAGTTGTTCCCGGTGGATCCTGGATCTTTTTGATGAACGAT